TACTTACTTGCAACATTAATTAATAACACAACTGAATTCATGAGATCATATGAATAATATTATATTACCTATAATCATATAATGGGTAAAATTATTAGTTATTAGTTATAACCCTTGCAATCAGCATAATAATAATTGGAAATTGGTATTATAATTTTAAACCTAGAGTTGTACTATCGTCTATCAAGTAGTTATCACTACACAATTTACAATTATTATTATTAACCTATTTTTACTATGTACTATGTAGATACATAGTAATATAATATATTGCAACTAGCATAGAATATTGTGTTGTCTGATAATACTTGTGTTCATTAGCATTAGCATTATAATCATAATTCGCTAATCCCTATTTAATACAAAATTTAGATAGGTACCTACTCTTCTTTCATGACAAGTGGTAGATAACAATTTAATATGGATACTTTTAATATTATTCAAATCAATCCCAGTTTATTGCGTGCTAATCTGTTGAATGAAAATTACATTAATAATATTATATAAAATATTATTCCCAACAAACACAAACAAGTTGGTGTGTTCTAAAGTCATTTAAATCTAAATAAGGATTACTGATTTACCGAATAACAAATCTATTAGATTTAAATGACTTTAGAACACACCAACTTGTTTGTGTTTGTTGGGAATAATATTTTATATAATTATTAATGTAATTTTCATTCAACAGATTAGCACGCAGTAAACTGGGATTAATTTGAATAATTTGAAGTAATTTTATCTATCAATGAAGATCCTGTAATTGCATCATCAAACTTACAAATGCATCTCAATCACTTGTCTGAGTGGTATGAAAAATGGCGTGACCAAATTAACCAAAATAAATCGGTACACACAACGTTCACGCTCAAACAAGGAATATGCCCAAACATTACCCTTAACAACATACCAATTCCCACATCCGACACGGTCAGATACTTAGGGCTAATCCTTGACAAAAGACTGACGTGGAAAAACCACCTTCAATCCAAAAGGCTATCCTTAAATAATCGCATGCGTATTCTCAGACCCTTATTAATTAGAAATAAGTGTTCCCCCCTTAACATCAAACTACTAATCTACAAATCTCTTCTCAAGCCAATGTGGACGTATGGACTACGATTATGGGGTGCGGCAAAAAAATCAAATATTAACAGAATCCAAACATTCCAAAATATTTCACTCCGATGATTGTCCAATGCTCCCCCCTATATCTCTAATCTAGCCCTTCATAACGATCTCTGTACGAGAACAATAGAAGCGGAAGCACGCATTTTCTATTCACGTTTCCATTAAACGACTTCAAACCCATACAAATCCTCTTATAAAAGACCTTTCTATCCTTACACTCCCAGGAAACCCAAACCGTAGGTTAAAAAGAAAGTGGTGCCGTGCAAGGGCGCCCGCAGAAATTTTCACCGGGGGGGGCAAAGTTTATATTATACATATATTATACATAGCCATAACATATTATTAGGTAGGTATAGTATTTTATAGTTTCATTACAAACTCAGTAAACAAACTGATGACACCATAATATGATTAACAGTAGGTATATTTTCATCAAAATATTATATGAGACATCAAGAGCACTGAAAAAAAAATCTTATAAATTATTATATTATACTAGCTGATCCCGTGCACTTCATTTCTCGTTAAATGTACCAACTCTATATGACTCAAACATTGTTCAATGCGTTATTTAATATTCGGTGTATGATGTTCTAGATTTATCTTAACTTTTCTGTTGCCCGGAATAAAAATTCTGAATTGCAGAAGTACATTATCAGATAGGTAATTTACCTGCGGTAGATCGCGGACCCTGTGCTGTTTGTACGTAAGTGTATGATTTAACGCAAAAAGTACCAAAGTTATACCAAGTTTGACGTATTTACTTAATTCCACCTACCTATAAATCCTAACCTAACCTAACCGTACTAAAATCCGATGAATAAAAAAAAAAAATTTAACCCTTTTTAAATCAGCGTATCTTCTTCCCATAGGTCATTCATTTATATATAAGATATATTTACAAAAATAATAATACAAATCAACAAACATACCCGATTAACCAATAGCAACTAATATAATATAATACACCATAGAGTAAATAAAGACAACGGTATCGAGTTCAAATCCCAGACATCAATAAATAGTTTTTGCAGTTTTTCTAATTATTCGGTTGACTTTTTAAAAATTTTCTTTCGTAAAAACCTTCACCTGGCAATTACGAACATTTTAAAAAAAAAATTGAGCAAAATCGGCCCAGCCGTTCTCAATTGATGCAATTTCGAATTTTTTGTCTCCATTTTTATATATAATAGATTAACTAATTAGATTAATTAGATTATTGGTCATTAAATAAAAATTGGCGCCTAGGCTCCATACCAAATAATTTTATTGTTTCATCTATAATGTTTGATTTTTGAGCTTGCACATAAGTTTTGTAAACATTCATTAATGCCAAGCCATTCAAGCGGTTCTCAGTTACAGTACTACGAAGCCATGTTTTAAGTCTTTTAAGTGAGCTAATTTAAGGCAAATATAAAACATAATTAATAATTGAAGTAGTAAAAATAAAAATATATTATAAATTGTAATACAAACCTAAAAGACCTTTCAACGCTACATGTAGTAGATGGAAGTGTAGCTGATATTAAAAGACATTTTTTTATTGAAGGTAGAAATGTGACTTCATCTAATAACTTCAGAAAATGTTATCACTAATCACTTATGATTAATCAATTATTGATCTATTTTATTAAAATAATAAAAATAATATAATGCTACAAAACTTCTAAAATATTTATAAAAATATACTGTAATATTATAAAAATTAAAAACATTGGTAAAAAAGCGGGGGGGGCCATGGCCCCTCTCGGCCCCCCCCCCTGTGGGCGCCCTTGGTGCCGTGACCTTTTACAAAACTTTAATGTCTAACTCTCTGAATAATAATAATATAAACAATTAAAAAAAAAAAAAAAAAAACGGGTAAGTGGATGTCACACTGCTGCACAGTAGGTTACAAGTTGGTAACTGTATAATAGGTCATTTTAAATTTGAATTCAATGATATCATAATATGATATTATCATTGTATACGAAAATGTGAGTGCCTTTGTACTCACGAATGATGTGTAAACATTTTAGTTGTAGTACGACTTTAAATGGGGAATATAATGTCATGGTTTGAGTGGGAATTTGTATAATACATATTATACGATACAAACACGGTTTCGCGCGTATACGTAAACGAGAAAAATAAATAATATTAATAAGAATAATGAATCGGCCGACAACTGTACCAGAGCGCGTTCGCCCCTACCAGGGGTTCTATTCTCGAGATCAATCGACAAGAAGTCGTGTGCGACTAAACTCGAATGATTATGTCGTAGTCGACTGCAAAACGCTATTCTCCAAAAGCATTCGACTAAAATTAGTCGCATTCGAGATTATGTCGACTAGTAATAATCTTGTCGAGTGAACCACAATGGTATAACCTAAAATTCATTTATTATCAGAAATATTCCCGCCAAAATATGATATATTGATACCACGAATTAAGATATATCTTAATTCGTGATTGATACTGATTGTTACTAATCAAACCTACCTTATTATTGTTATTAATTATTATTTATTACCTTATTTTGGATGCTCAAAGCCGACGTACATTTGGTGGTTCCATAAATGGAGTGACTAACTCGATTAAATATTTTGTTAAAACTTTATTCAATCGGTAAGTTTTTATAAAAAGATGATCACTTAATGCTAATAAAGGGTCTATTTTAATGCCAAACGGTTGTCTGACATTTTGAGCTTTTTGCCTCTCTATATTAGCAATAGCAAACATCATAGCTCTTTCATATTCATTCGCCATTATTGTTATATTTAACAAAATATTAACTCAGCAGTTATAAAATAAAACAACAATAATAAATTAACAAAATGAAAAGGTAATCGACAATCGTAATACAAGTACCTAAACACAATAATACAAGATGACTTATCAATAATCATAGTATTCTGCAGTTGATTTGCGTGAAATATATTAAATCTATGGTGCTCGAAATTAACAAATCATTCGACTAAATTTTATCGAATGCGATATAGCAGTAGACATAATGTCGAACGGTTTTCGTTCGAGAAAAGTCATACATCATTTCGAGAATACCATGGACGACGAATCGATCGAGTTCGACGATGAATCGATCGAGTTCTGATTTATGTCGAATGCGACAAAATTCGAGAATAGGGCCCCAGGGGGCCCAATTCTTGAAATCATACGACCAATTCTCGCATGCGACAAGAGTCATACATCTTATCGACTGTGACAAATTTTTATCGCATGCGACATATAATATGTATTCTTGAACTGAAATCGATAAGATTTTATCACTTGTCGAATGCGACAAAGTAATCGAATGAACCACTGTGGTAACAACACAAAATCTAGATTTTAACCTCAAACAAATTAAAAAATTTGCAAAGAATAAGGTTTATCTTTTATCACTGATTTTAATGTCGAGTTCATAAAACACTAAGATACTAAATTTACTTTTATTAATTTTTTATAATATTATAATATAGTTTTATTACTCTATATTAGATACCTAGGTATTATACCTTTGGTCAATAGGATATTAGGAAAAAAGTCTTGGAAAAAGTCCCTTATAAAAACGTCACACGGAAAAAATTCCCCTCGTAAATTATTTAAAAAAAAAAATCAAAAAAATCTTATAATAATATTTAAAATAATAAATATATTTATTCAGATATATGGTTTACCCATCGTTAATTAATTAAAAATTAAATAAAATATATATTATAATAATAGTATTTAAAAAATATAAAAAAGTTTATATTTTGTTTACCTATCGTAAATTAATTAAATATTTAAAAAAAAAAACGTATCTTTATTTTGAGTATTTCAGTTTTTACAACTTAAATACATTCTTTATTCTAGAAAAGTCTAGAGTTATAAAAATATACCCAGAATTATTATAGCAAAACATGTTTGTACCTAAAAATACGACTATCATGAACAGATCCTGGCCATCTAGCTACAATATCCAGTATTTCACATCTAGGTCCACTCACAATCTGTACATTTATTGAAAATATGCCTTTTCTGTTCCTGAAATTTTCCCCTTGGTCACCTCCAGGATTTAGTATTGGTATATGGGTACAGTCTATTGCACCATCAACACCAACAAATCCTGAATAAAAATAATTTTTCAACTGTGTATATACTTATTTAAAGCATAATGAACAAATTATTTTGAAATTACCAGCAATATTTGAAAATAACACTTGATTATGTATTTTTCCTTCTAGGGTAGCAGGAAACTTTACAAAAGTCGGTAACTTACTTGCTATTATTCTTGAAATATCTTTTACACATCTACTTATAGTTGGTTGGCTAATACCAACCAAATCACCAGTAACTATCTGTAATGAAAAATAGAGTAGATCACTATCATTACTCACTCAATTTACCTACTCACTTGGAAATTTCCAGTTCCATAATACCGTAACACTGCAAGTAGTTTCAATAATGGTGGAATTGGAAGGCCTCTCATTGAATTCGGCTTCAATGTCATTAAATACGAGGGGCATTAAACTTTGCAATACTGTAGTTTTAGAAAATCTATAAAATATAATTAAAAAAAATTAAAAAATATTGTTTTATTAATAGGTAGGTTATCATTTGATTTTTATTTATTGTAATAAATTCACTCACATGATAATAAATTACCCTTTGGAATATTTTTGTTTTAACTTAGGCTTTAGGCATAAATAAAAATAAAATAAATGACCTACATATGACCATATAATATGGTGATTTCTATTGAAAATTATTTCACTTACCTGAATCTGTTAAAAAATTCTTTATCGTCATAAAAATCAATTGGATTTTGCATGTCTCTAATATATCGTTTAGGAACACGTTCATTATTTTCTTCAGCACGGTTGTAAAAATTAACTAATTCCACAAAGTGTATTATATCCATATTTTCAATTTTTATAAAACCAATCAATGTGATATGATCAAAAACAAAAAAAAAATCATGAACGTACCTCGTATACAATATCATTATTATTAAAAGAATTTCTTAAGCATGGTCAAGACCAGTCTTTTTAAAATCTTCTGAATAAGTCGTACTTTTCATTTTCTTAAGCTCGAGTACTATTTATGAATCTCATTTAAGTCATAAGCATGACTTAAGCAATACTTATTCTTAAGAATCGACTATAAATACGACCCTTAGTATTTGAAAATATAAAAATGTATTTAATCAGATATGTGGTTTACCCATCGTAAATTAATTAAAAATACCTTATCATAATAATATTTAAAAATATATATAAAAATGTATTATCTACAACAGACATAGGCGCAACTAGGTGGGTGATTGGGGGTGCTTCAGCACCCACAGTCTTTTATTTAGCACCCCCTGTTTGGAACACCAAAAACTAAAAAAATATATGTAAAGAGAAAAAATTTTCTTCAACAGTATTTTAAGTAAAGTGCATCTAGTTGGTGCATTCGGGAGGTGAAATTTTGAAATTCCCTATAGTTTTTTCTCAATATTATAGATGAATAACTCTTACAAAATGGCTAGTTTAGAATTTTTTTTATTAGGCCATGGTAAAAATGAGTCCATATAAGGGACATAATATTATTAATGTATAAGTATATAATTGTTTACTAGTTTAGTTTTTAGTAATAGTTTTTTTTATTTCTACGTTTTATACCACAAACTTAACAATGAATATATGTTAAATAAAAGTAAATGATAAGTACTACTTATGGCTTATTGTAGGTAGGCTCAAATATAGTGGTACCTACTACCTACCTCTCTTTAACAAACTTATTTTTGACGAAACTTTATATTACAACAAAATTTACATAGGTAGTTAATTTAAATGTTTTTTTTAGATTCTGAGCGGAGCGATGAATGTATTGGTTTTACAATGATGTATGTTTTTATATTTTTATATTTTTATATTTTTATATTTTTGTGTCTGTCATCACGTTTTGGGACAGTAAAAGTGCTTCGATTTTCTTCAATAGTACCTTTTCTGATAGGAAAGTGAATCTAGTTGGTACTTTGGGGGGTCAAAAGTAAATATTTTCCAGTAGTTTTCACAAGCGCCGGGAAAAACAACATAAAAATTAAGGAAAAACGGGAATTTTTACGCAAAATCGATTTTCCAAAAAATCGAATTTGGTTTTTGGTGTAACTTTAAAACAAATGACCGTAGATACATGAAATTTTCACTGGTTATTTATATTTGCATTTTCTATACACGATAACATTTTCAAAATATTTTGATTTATTTTGAACTGTTTAGGGACATTTTCATTTTTCATTTTTTTTTAGTTTTTTTTCTAGAAATATCAATAAAATTTTATTTGTTGGTTGCGAAAGCTTGAAAATTTAATAGAAGGCTCCTAATATGTTGTTTCAAAGGCAGATGAAAAATATTAAAAATCCTTAGTCACAATTTTTTTTTATAAGCATTTAAAGTTCAAAAATTGACAAAATATGGAAAAATCACGAAAATTAGCAAATTATTTTGAGTTAAGAATTCGTAAAAATTTTTCTTTTTAAATCTAAGATTTGAAAATGTAATATAAGATTACTCATAAGTTTGTCTACCTTTATCAATAAAAAAATCTCTACCGGAATGTCAAATTAAATTTTTATGAGCGTTTGAAATTCAAATTTTTACAACATTGGATGTTCACTCGATTTCTCATGTAGCGATTTCCTTATTTTGTTGTAATTCAAAAACGTATAACTGTAGATACATGAAAATTTCACTGAATGTTTATATTATCATTTCCTATACACCATACAATTTTGAAAATATTTTGACTCTTTTTGAGCTGTTTATGGACATTTTCATTTTTCATTTTTTTTTAGTTTTTTTTCTAGAAATATCAATAAAATTTTATTTGTTGGTTGCGAAAGCTTGAAAATTTAATAGAAGGCTCCTAATATGTTGTTTCAATATCAGTTGAAAAATATTAAAAATACATAGGCACGATTTTTTTTTATAAGCATTTAAAGTTGGAATTTTGACAAAATTTATCAAAATCTCGAAAATTATCGATCGTTGGAATTAAAAAATTATAAAATGTTCAGTTTTAGATTCTGAGTGAAACGATGAATGTATTGATTTTACAATGATGTGTGTTTTTTTTTTTATTTTTTTTTTTATTTTTTTATTTATTTTTTTATTTTTGTGTCTGTCATCACGTTTTAGGACAGTAAAAGTGCTTGGATTTTCTTCATCAGTAGCTTTTCTGATAGGAAAGTGAATCTAGTTGGTACTTTGGGGGGTCAAAAGTATAAATTTCCCAGTAGTTTTCACAAGCGCCGGGAAAAACAACATAAAAATTAAGGAAAAACGGGAATTTTTACGCAAAATTGGTTTTCCAAAAAATCGATTTTGGTTTTTGGTGTAACTCTAAAACAAATGAACGTATATACATGAAATTTTCACTGGTTGTTTATATTTGCATTTTCTATACACGATAACATTTTCAAAATATTTTGATTTATTTTGAACTGTTTAGGGACATTTTCATTTTTCATTTTTTTTTAGTTTTTTTTCTAGAAATATCAATAAAATTTTATTTGTTGGTTGCGAAAGCTTGAAAATTTAATAGAAGGCTCCTAATATGTTGTTTCAAAGGCAGATGAAAAATATTAAAAATCCTTAGTCACAATTTTTTTTTATAAGCACTTAAAGTTCAAAAATTGACAAAATATGGAAAAATCACGAAAATTAGCAAATTATTTTGAGTTAAGAATTCGTAAAAATTTTTCTTTTTAAATCTAAGATTTGAAAATTTAACACAAGATTCCTTATAAGATTATCTACCCTTATCAAAAAAAAAAATGTCTATAAGAAAGTCAAATTAAATTTTTATGAGCGTTTGAAATTCAAATTTTTACAACATTGAATATTCACTCGATTTCCCATGTAGCGATTTCCTTAGTTTGTTGTAATTCAAAAACAAATAACTGTAGATACATGAAAATTTCACTGAATGTTTAAATTAGCATTTTCTATACACCATACAATTTTGAAAATATTTTGACTCTTTTTGAGCTGTTTATGGACATTTACAGCTTTCAATTTTTTTTAGTTTTTTTTTTCTATAAATATCAATAAAGTTTTATCTGTTGGGCCAAAAAGTGTAAAAATTTAATACAAGGCTCCTGATATACTGTTACAATAGCAGTTGAAAAATATTAAAAATACATAGGCACAGTTTTTTTTATAAGCATTTAAAGATCAAATTTTGACAAAATTTATCAAAATCTCGAAAATTATCAATCATTGAAATTAATAAATTATAAAATGTTCAGTTTTTATAGCTAAGGATTGCAAATTTAAAACAAAGGTTCTCATAAATAGTTCATACTGTAACCAAAAAATCTAAAAAATATATGAACACAGTTATTTTTTACAGACATTTTAAATTCAAATTTGGACGAAATTACATATTAAAAAACCTAGAATAACTATTTTAGTTATTTTGTTGTGATTGAATAATATTATTCGTGGGTACTTGAAACTCAATATATCTATAATATAATATATCTATGATAGTATCACGGTTTTGTTGATGTATAACGCGTTATAAGTACCTAATGGACATTGTGATATGATTAATTTGGAATTTATTATAGGTACCTATTATAGGTCAATTTTTTGTTTAATACCATAGATATGTATATAATATGTCTTAAACATAGACTGACATACCGTCTCCGCTCAGAATCGTTTTTCTTATACAATGATATTATATCGTTGAATTCAAATTTAATATCATCCATTATACAGTGACCCACTTGTAACCTACTGTACAGCAGAGCGACACCCACTTGCCCACCTTTTTTTTTAATTTTATTTATTTATTAATATTATATATTATTATTTATATGCATTTTGTACACTAAAAATAAGTTATATAAATGAAAAAATATCACTGATATATTATATTAAAAACATTAAAGTAATTGATTGTAAATTTATATTATTAATTGATACTATAATTATTTTTATTGGTAACTTCAACTAAATTCTAGTAAAAATATTTCTGAAAATGTAGCTATTAATGTTGAGTAAATTTGGCTAAATTAATATATAAATAAATTAGCAATAATTTAATTTTGTTCACAGTAATGAAATAATATATTTTTAGGTATATAATGTTATTTAATTTATATTATGTGTTATTGGTTGAAGAAGTATAATTTAGAGCATTGACTTTTTATTTAGATTTTATCGATTTAAGACTATTTGTATAGCACGAAAAATTGGATATTTTAGAGACTGGCCGATTAATACAAAGTAATTTACAAAACTAAAATGACAAATTGACAAATCGATGATCGATGAGAATCGGTAATAATATTTATTTCTGTTATAATCATGTTATAATAATCGATAATGTAAAAATTGTTATCACATTTCATACATTATCATGCGACTAAAGTTTGTCACTGACTTATACCCAGTAGACAAACAGTCGAATGTTTTTCGTTCGACTAAAGTCATATATCTTTTCAAGAATACCAAATATTTATTTTCATGCGATAAACTTTTTATCGCATGCGACAAAGCTTATCACAATTTCAAGAATTGGCCAACAGACTCGTGAAAATAACCAAGAAAATAATAGATAAGCAACTCGCCTGGTTTATTGGTTCTGCGATTTTAGCGCTATGGCGACGACACACACACACACACTCAAGCAGTCACATCTACATGACTTACGCCTGACGGCTGACGCTCGTTTCCCCAAGTCCCAAGAAGGTCGTACTCATAGATAATAAAGATATGGATAGGACATAATGGTCTTATCAGCGGTCTTCAGGGGAATAATTGAGGCCAAATAAAGTATATCTATATGGAGTATCGACTGTCAACAAAAAATGTAAACAAATCGCCTCAATTTCTTATCTATGTTGGACCGCAAAACTAATAC